TCGGGCGGGGCTGGAGGCCGGGCGGCGGGAGTGTGCGGGGTGGGCTTCCTGCGACGTTCAAGTCGGGCAACGTGGATAAATGCAGCTGGATTGTGTTTTCCATCTTGGTGTAGGAATTTGTGACAGAGTAGCTCGTGGCAGTTTCATTTCTTCTGTTAAAATATTTAGAAATCCTGTACTTGAAAGGAAAGATGCCTCGATTATGAGTGACTGTGAGGCGAAAATTAGAAATAAACATGAGGGGCCCCTGGGTGGCTCAGTCCGTTAAGCGTTGGACTGGGCTCAGGTCATGACTCATGGTTTGTGGGTTCTAGCCCCGCATCAGGCTCCACAGTCTCAGTGCGGAGTCTGCTTGGGATTCTCTGTATCTCCCTCTGTCTCTGTCCCTCTCCCACTCTCTCCCTCTCTCTCCCTGTCTCTCTCTATCTCTCTCAAGTAAACTTAAATAAATAAGTAAGTAAATAAATAAATAAACAAACATGAGAAGTGATGGGGTTTTGGTGTCGTGGTGATGGTGGTGTGTCCTGAGCTCACGGCCAACAAAGAATTCTTAAAAAATTCTTTGGTGCAAAAAGGTGATTTTATTAAAGCACAGGGACAGGACCCCTGGGCAGGAGGGGCTGGGCTGAACTGGTTATATACTATGGACTTGGCGAGGTAAAGGCCTCAGAGAGTTTCCCAGAAGGACTTTGATGTGCCAAAGAAGACCCCTAAGATACCGGAGACCTCCCTATTGTCAAGCTAAGGTTGTTTTCTTCTAGTAAGGCATTAACATTAGGGCAGTATGGGGTTCCTGGAGAAATGTTATACTCTGTATTTGCCTCAAATATTTGTCAGTAGGCTGCAGGTAATAACTTTAATGTTATTTACATTTTCTTCTTACCTTTGTTCCCATATCACATGGAGGGGATACATATCACATGGAGGGGATACGTATCACACGGAGGGGATCACATGGAGCGTGATACTAGGGGCTCCAGGAAACTGAGTCTATAGGTTTCTGGAGATTAGGCTATTGATAAGATTGCCTTTTCTTGTAATTTACTAAGACATTTGTAAACTGATGGAGACTCCTGTCCTGTGATCTCTATCAGCTAGCCAGTTGTTTTCTATCCTTTCTTTTGTTCTTCGGCAGCCAGGAGTGCCTGAGGAATGTCACACATACTCCACCTGAGGGGGGGGGTTGTGGGGGTGTCAGCTTGCCTTATGCTCCCTCATCAAGAAGTGTAAAAAGAAATTTGCATTTGGTTTATTTGAATAGCTTACTGCTGATTATGTCATCATTAAGTACCCAGAAGTTCTTTGCTGTGTTGTTTTGTCACCCTCTGTGACTCTTACAATGTGCTGTTAGGGGTTAGGTCATTATGCCTAGGTTTGAAAATCTCCATGTTAAATACTAAAGTGTTGTAATAAATTACAGTAGCACCATTTTGATTAGTCCAAATGTTTTCAAGGTTTGAAATAACTCTTGACTACATGAAAAAGAGTTTAAGACATACAGAAAACAAAAAACAAATGCCTGAAGTCAGTCCTTCCTTATTAGTAATTACTTTTAATGTAAAGGAACTGATCTCTGCTATTCAAGGCAGAGTTTGGCAAAATGGCTTAAAAGACAAGATCTGGCTATATGCTGTCCATGGGAGCTTCACTTTAGACTCTATGACACAAAAAGGTTTAAAGTGAAAGGCTGGAAAAGATAGTCCATACAAATAGCAGTGGTGGAGACCTAGTGCGGCCATATCAATATCAGACAAAGGGTGAGAGTGGGGGATTGTCTTCAAGAAGACAGACCTGAGGTTCTTGATTGCTGTAGCAGCCGGGGATCCCTTCAGGCAGCCAGTCCAAATTGGAGTCTGACTGTTGTCAGCCTAAAGGTGCTGCTTGAGCAAAATTTTCAGGGTTTTATCCCTCCACCCGGGAGGTATGCAAGTGGTTTAGGACTTGCCCTGGATCTACAGACCTGCAGGGTGCAGGCTGACCTCTGCAGGCTAAGGGGGCGTGTAGTGTGTAAGCTGGGCAGATCCAAGGAGCCAGGGAGCTGGAATAGGGTTAGCTGTGGAGAGAGGCCATGCATGTCCCAGGAGCTGATTATTTGGGGGCACCAGACATCTGCCTAATTCCAAGAATTATCCTACTCAAATGCACATATTCCCCCTGAAGGCAGAGCTGGAGGAAGGTGCACTGTCCTGCCTGTGTCAGGCTCCACAAACTTGCTTTGGTTTCCTCCAGTAAAACAGCTGGGAGCACTGATTGTTGTGGAAGTCAACATCCCCAGCATACTGATTAAATCTGCCCCAGTTGAAATCTGCCACTGTGGAATGATTTTGGGGGTGCACTCCCTCTTTTCAATCAGTTATACACTTTGTTGGGGACAGTCCAAACTCCACTGGCTTGTCGGGCCCTGGATGCACCAGGCTGGCCAATCAATGTGTCCTGCGCAAGCATGTCCCACACAGCTGGATTTACCCAGGGAATCTGTACAGAGAAAAGTTCAGGAGAAGACTGGTCTCAGGAGCAGGCTGTTGTGGATGCATGGACTCTACCCATTTCCAAGCCTGAACCAACACAAATGCACCTATTCCCTTTGAAAGCTGAGCTAGAGCAGAGT